AGGGATGTTAGGTCCCGATCTTCCGATAGGTATGGATAAACAACGATTTGGGCGGAGACGCGACACAACTCGATTCGGCTTCTGAACAAACACGCTACTGAGCCCCGTAATCGCAGCACCACGTCTCCTCTAGTTATCAACCGTGCCAAAACCCGGTTGACCTCGCCGAGAAGGCTAATCCCTGCATGCGAATCGAAGAACACAAGCAAGAACAAGATAGATTGCAACTAAATTGCATATGAATGATTAAGCACACGAATTTGGGGTTCCACAAACCGATCTAGCGGTGAAACTGTTCTTGATAGAATAATCTAAGAAAAACCCAACTCTAAACGATGACGGCTACTAAATTAATATGATTAGGAACGTCCTAGGGTTGCCCTAGGGCACACACCCCATTGGGCTAAGCCCACGACATAATTACAAGGCCCAAAACTCAAAATCAGATTCGGGCTGGATGAGGTACATGGCTTGTTTTGCAGATTCCCGGCAGCTCGGTAGGAATTTTGATGTGGGACCAAAACCATCTGAAAGTAAACTCAATAAGCTTTCCAACAAGTACTCTTGGGCCTCAAATTTCCTTCTAGATCAGCGGCTAGGTCTGTTTGAAGTTGATGCTGTCAGAAGGCCTGAATCCGAATCCAAAACGTGTACAACTTGATCTCTTGTCTTCTATGGGCCAAAAGTGACATGGTGAGGTAAAAGTAGACTTGGAGAAGGTCTTGGTTTGGTCCCCAATCAACTTCTTTAATCATCCATGCATTAGTTACGCTCGGTCTTTTTTCCTTCGCCCAAGCAAGTACCTCTACAAATGAAAACACACAAAACTCATTGTGTAGCAACATTTGTTCAAATATATAACAAGTAAATCTAATGTAGAACATATGCACCTTTATTTGATTAATACATAAGGTAGTCATGGTTATATCCGAGCTAGTTATGTCCTCATCAGTCTGTTTAGGACCCACCACTGATGTGCCTCTAGGAGCCAAAAAAAAAGTTGAAGGTCGGCTCGAGCCGATGATTCGAGCAGTCCCCGATTCACATCCCAATCCCCCGATCCAAGAACGCTGCACATCACAAATTTACAAACCATAACCATAATTAAACCCCATTAAAGAACACATCTCAATCACATTTCAATCCATACCCATAATCAATCCCCATCAAAGAACACATCCAAATATACGACAATATTACATTGATTCGTTACTAATGCAAAGCTAATCCGATACATCCGGCCCATGTGGGGTTGGCCGAGGCCCAACAAATTAAGGTTGCCCAAATCCCAACAGTTATTAGGCACACCCACTCGGGGAAAGGCCCAATCTCCTAAAAAGACTAGTCCAATAGGGGAAGGGTGGCTCTCCTTTTTAAGGTGGCTTCCTCCTCCCAAGCTAAGCAAGGTGGGATTATTCAGAGGCTCACACGGTCACCGCCCGACTACAACTGGACCACTTGGCCCCTTGTTGCATCTTTGCCATCGAGTAATAGTGGAGGATGTCCTCATCACAATCAATCCCTGAACTCACAGCGGATCCAAGTACTACACATATATTCAACATTTACATAAGTAGACTCACCACCACCATCGTCACCCTCGAGTTGCTGGCTCCGCACCGTCTACCAATAGTGGGCCCGCATCTAGACCCAGAGCAGGATGCCTTGGACTGCTTTGTAACGACCCTCCCTCCAGAGCCGCGTAACCCAGCCCATCTGTCGAGCTTGCCCACTTACACACACCACCCCGCTTACACTTTCGTCATCATTTAGTGTAAAAGGGTTAACCCGGGAGTGGTATAGTTGGAGGGAAGAGGCCTCATAAGTTGGTCCCACCCTTGCTATACTAGTAAAGCGTTAGTAAACATGTGCACACAACTCTCATGGGCTACACAGGCCTAATTCTAATTGGGTTAGGATGTTACAGCTTTCTCCTCTCTCGCCAGCACCCCCCTCAAGCCGCGGTAGAGAGGAAGATGGGAAGGGAGGCACACCACAATGGATGGGGAGGGCAGCGCACTACAGTGGATGGAAAGAGTAAGAGCAGGTGCGGTGGCGGTGGTGACAGGCAGGAACACGCTAGCGGCCGTGACAAGTAGAGGGAGTGAGAGAGTGAGAGGAGATAAGAGAGAGATCAAGAAAAATCTGGCTATATGAAAGAGAGATCTAGAAAGATCTGGCTAGGATGGCTCAGCTCTATGATGGCTCGACTCAGCTTTATCACTAACAGGACTTTTACAACCCCGACACTGATGTGTAGCACATCAGTGCTGGGCATTTAGAAGACCGACATTGATAACATCAGCACTAATTTTTTTAATGATCCAGTACTGATATGTGGCACATCGGTGCCGGGTTTTTTAAAAAATCTGGCATTAATCGATAGGATGTGGGTTTGAGGGGTGGGAAACTAATATCAATCCCAGATGTAGTTAAACTGGCACTGTTGTGTTGTCTTGTAGAAGTGTAATCTAGGGCTACGGGTCCATACTCTGGGATCTTCATAGTGCAAGTGGCTCTAAGAATGGCTTTAATTTTATATTTCTGCCCCTAACACCTTTTGTTTTAGTTCACATTTTTCTTTTCAATTTGTGTGGAGGTCCAAAATTTACACCTAACACCCTAAAATATATCTAGAAAAAAATGTAAACCCCCCTCCCACTCTCCCTTATCCTCTCCCTTAGCTCAAAAATCGCTCCTAGCAACCCACAACGGCGTATGGCAGTGAACCCCACTCTCTATCCACTCACTGCCAGTGCACCACCCCTCCCCTCCTCCGATGATTGGCGGTCTTCATCCCTTGGACAGGTCGGCGGTGCATGAGCGGGGATGATGACGAGCTCGGCAGCGCAGAACAGAAACAACAACGAAGTTAGGCGCCAGATCAAGCGCCTCCTCTTCCTTCACCGCTGCCATCTTCCAATTTCCCCCTAGGCCACCGCTGCCGCCCTATCGAGCTCACCATATCTGGGCTCATATTCATAAGATCTGGTGAGCGTCACCGCTTCAGGGTGGTGGCCTCGCCGGTGATCGCCGCCCCCTTGCATACCCTCTCCCAACACATCACTCACCCTGCGCCTCGCCCCACGCTCGCTAAATTCTAATGAAGAACGCATAGCTTAGTTTGGCTCCACCGTCTTCAGTTGGGAATGCCAGACGCATGCGTGGCGATGAATCTTTGACATGGATGGTCAGGGCTGAATGCCACCTCAGAGGCATGGTTGTGGTCCTGCAAAAAGTGAGATAAGGGAAGAGCTACACGTAGCATTGAGCTAATGGGAGCTCAATTCATAAATTATATGCACTTTTTAAGATTATAATGGTAATTATGGAGCTAGGCTTAGGTCTTAAGCCCTAGCTACCCCATGGCCATTTCTGCTCCTACCAGGGAGGGAGGAGAGGGAGCTTGTCATGCCCCCGCTCCACAACGCCAAGTTCATGGGCGTGCTGACTTGTGGAGGAGGAAAGTATAGGGCGTCGGTTGGGATATGGAAGGAGGGTGGTTCACTAGTGGCAGGCTCGAGAGCAACCGCAAGTATTGGGGGAAGGACGGCGCGCCTGTGGCGGGTGGAGGAGCAGTCCGCCGGAGCTAGAGGGTATAAGGGATCAGCACATCAGGTGGACTTGTGGAGGGGATAGAAGGAGGGATTTATATTTCTTTCTAGATTTTAGGTGTTTTATGTAAAATTTTGGACTTCAATATAAATTTTGAAAAATGATGACTAAAAATAGGAAATGTGAGGTACTGACATGAAAAGTTGAGCCACCTCATAATGCGACTTACATTGCAAATTTTACCATGGTTTCCGTTAGCACGTTTTTAAAACGATGTGCTTCTTGCAAAAACATTATATATGTGTATCATCACTTAAATAGGCAGTATTAGTTATTTTCCTTTACTTGTTAAGGAATCTTATCATGTGTTTGATATGGACATGTGCAAACCTCAGGGTATAAATATGTACACCGAGTTTTTTGTAATCATCATCAACGATCAATACCACTTTCGGTATATCGCCACCTTTTACTTTCGGTGAGTTCTTAGTTTTCGAGCGGGTTTGCATCGATTGGATCTCCGGTGAGGAAAAAAGTTCTGCCAACTTCGATTGTCTCGGATTAGTTTGGACTTTCTCGGTTCGGTCTAATATTCTAACTAAGTTGCTGCAATCGTTGCATGCCTATCTGATATCGGCTCTTTCTTTGATTGCATCGTTGTCATAGCTTGATTCGATATATCATAATTTTGTATAGAATCTATCGCTATGATTAGATTTGATGCTATTGATCTCATATTGTCTCGATTCGCTCTAGTCTATTAGATTATAGTTAATTAAGTAAATTTCATTGATGGGTTCTATGCAATGTTTCATTGGAATTCTAGCCGATGAGTTATCTTGATATAATTTTTAAGTGTTATATCAGCTCATGCTCAAACTTGTGCATTTACTAGTTAAATCTTTCTTTGTTAATTTCAATCATAAATGTCACAGGTTCGATCCGATCTATTAAGATTGTTTTTATAAAGAACGATTCTTTAGTAATTATACATTATTTAGTTGTAGCCAATGATAGTATGAATTTCATTGCTTAGTTTATGAGACTTATAGAATATATTCTACTATGTAGGGAAGCGCCACAGGCAAGCTAGTTTCACACCAAACTCCCAAACACATATTCGTATATTAACAATATTCACTGTGCTTTCGTTCAAAAAAAAAATTCACTGTGCAGTGGCAGAGGCTAGTAGTATTTTTCATGGCACATCACGATTTTTCTTGCGATTGTCTCCAGCTGCATGTCATACCCGGTTGGACCATACGCGAGTATAGTCGCCTGATCCCAAACCAAAGTGTTCTCTACTTCCTCTCGTGAAGACAAGTCAACATGACCTTTCGTGTTTCTTTGACTACACACAAACATGCATCAGGCATGGCATCTGCATGCATACATATATATCCAGGCGGCTGTCGTGTGTTTCGAGTTCCATCGGGTGAGTTTGCATTGCCAAACTGGTACTGCGTCCGTCCATGCCAACAAATTGCCAATGCCAAAAACCCCCACCATTCTGCCCTGCCCACCACCACATGCATGCTACTACTGCACACAGCGCAACGTCAAACAAAATTCAATTCCTCTTGCAGTCGGCGCCTCTGTCCCCCACACCCACCTGGCCACACCTAGCTAGCTTCCCCTAGCCACTAGTACTACCATTCCTTTGATCGATCTCCATCCCAACACAGTGATACTAGTACTACTACTGGAAGAGTAGTACTACTACCTTCCCTATCCTAGCTTTACTTTTTCGTTCTCCTGCTCGATCGATCGATCACAGGTTGTGTTTCCTGATGCTATAAATACATGCACATCCATCGTCTCTTGTCCAGTCCACACAGCCAGTGGCATCTCAGTCAGAGGAGAGCACTCTTCGATCTCTTCTTCTTCTTCTTCTCACTGCATTTTGTCTCTCTCCCATCCCAGGCAGCAGCCACCAAAATGGATGTAAGTGATGATGTCTAATGCATGTTTTAGCCTATCGATCGTGCAATGATCCAATATGTACATCATCTGGGTACGTGCAGACGGCGAGGCGGCGGCCGCGGCGGGTGCCGGCGTTCGGGGAGTGGAACTACTACCACGGCGGGGACGAGCTGCCGTCGGCGGCGGCAGCCGGCGGGGCGCCGGACGACCAGGAGGCCAGCAGCGACGTCTGGTTCAGGTACTCGCCGGCCCCGCGCAAGCCGGCGCCCAAGAAGGCCAGGAGGAGGGCGGCGGATAATCGCCAGAAGCCCGTCGGCGGAGGCAACAAGCGGAGACCGGCGAGGACGTCGTCGTCGGACTCCGGGGCTGCGACGGCGGCGTCGAACACGCCTGCCAAGCTGCAGCAGGCCGCCGCCACAGCGAAGGTGGCGGTGGTGCGGCGGCCGCCGGCAGTCGATGCCGACCTGTACCAGGTGCCCCCGCCGGACTTCCTGCCCGGCGAGCCGATTCGAAGGGTACTTACTTATGCAGATGCTACTCGATTGCCATTTCTACTTTGCTTTTTAGCAATTAATTGATAGTAAATGATACTTTGCTGTGTTGTGTAATTCGCTGCATGCAGAAGAAGGCAGGCAGGAGCATGTGGATGGGCTGCTTGGGCCTCAGCTGCTGAACTGCATCACGCAATCACCTAAACAAACTAAAGTCTAATTCACAGTGTATTTTTTTTCCAATTTTTTTCTAATCTTGATATCTACATAGGAGTCGTATCTAGGAGTAGTAGTAGTTAACTTATTTAAGTTTATCTTTGCGTTGTTTTTTGGTTGATTTCATAGCTAGTTTCTGATCCTCAAGTACTAGTACTACAACTGCACTGTAATTTACTACTAGTAGTAGTTGTTGGATTGTGTAACTGTCATATTGTCCTGTATCTGTGAGGCCGGTAAGAGCGCGGTGAGCTGGACCGGTGCTACGCCCCTCCACGTCGGATTTGTGCGTACGTGGAGCGAGAGCACGCGCCCAACTAGAGCACCTCGCCCTCTAACTGAGGCACGCGGTTCCTTCTCTAGCGAAGCCACGCGCGGCAAGAAACCGAGGCGTGGGGCAGAGGAGCAACGCAGAGGCACGCGTGCTGTGGGCAGCGTTTCTTCGCTGCCTTGTGCCCTCGCGCCGATTCCCCCGGAAGAAATCCCCGATTCGCCCTCGAGAAGTGTCGTGGCGGAGAAGACCAGGAAGAAGAGAAGGCTGGAGAAGCGGAAGCCGCACAAGAAATTGAAGTCATCACAGATCGAATTCAACAATTATCACAGATCGGATTCAACAAGATGAAAAAGAAAAAGAAGAAAAATCATCACAGATAAAAAAAAATCATCCCGCTCCCTGCCATGGCCGCCGTCGTGGCGCTCTGCGCCGCCTCCTACCTCCTCGGCCGCGCCCTCCCGACCGCCGCCGGCTCCTCCATGGCTTGCTTTTGCTCCTCCTCCTCCTTCCCTGCAGCAAAGAGGAATCAAATCACACAAAAACAGCTCCTTTCTTCCTCTAGGCTTTGATTTCTCCTTACCTCCGTGAGCTTCTTGAGGGGGTGAGGCTCTCGATTGGGGAAACAAGAACCACACCAAAAGCAAAACAAACAGAGAGAAAGCAAGAACCACACCAAAACAGGCTGTCCACTCCCGCCGCCCCCGCCGCTCCCGAGTCCACGCACCCGCCTATTGTCCATCTCCATGGCGGGTGGCGGCGAGGCCGGTGGTGGTGGCCGAATCAAGGGGTCCGCGCCGCCGCACGAGACGCGAGGCGAGTGGAGGCGCGGCGAGGCGAGGAGAAGCGGTGCGGCGCAGCGAGGAGTGGAGCCGACGCCGGACGAGGAGGAGGAGCGGAGCCGGCGCCGCCGGACGGGGAGGAGGCAACGGGAATGGCGACCGGGAGGAGGAGAAAGCGATGGAGGGGAGAGTGAGGAGAAGACGAGTCGAGGGTAGGTGGGGAAATTATTTCCCCCACTACCCGTATCCGCGAGCCCGAGATCACGCCCACTGTGATGTCGGTTACCTCCTATACTATATTCATCCAATTAAACCACACAACTAAAGGTGCTTATTATGTGAGATGGGTGTTTTTGAGATAACTTTTGAGGCTAGGGGTACAGGCCCACAGCTTGCACTGTGAATGGCCTAAAGAACCTTCACATGGGTAATAATAATCTTAGTTTGCATTGATAGAGTAGGATTTGACGCCAGATGAAATCCTTAAAAAAAAGACTGATGTTCCTCAGTGCTAAGGGGGTGTTTGGGAGAGAGGGGCTAAAGTTTAGCCCCTCTCTCAAAAACATAAGTCCCTGGGAGAGGGGCTAGCCCCTCTCTCAGAAACATAAGTCCCTAGGGCTAAACTTTAGCCCCTCTCTCCCAAACACCCCCTAAGTGCTCATGGAATTGGAAGGCGCATGCTTGGTTTGGTTTCTTGGGAAGGTGGCCCTCCGCGTTTCATGCACGCATCATGTTGTTATCAAACTGGTCTCTCCTGCCACACTTTGAATGATAATGTGACGTGTTTGACTCTTTTCAAGGATGTCACACATGTTACCAAGACAAGAAAAAAACAGAAGAGGATGTCACACCACCATTCTTTTACTAGTAGTTTTCTTCCACTCGAGTCACAGCGTACAGATTTTCTTTCCAAGATCTGTCAGAGCTCTTGGTACTCGCTGCAATCCTTTAAATGAAACGATCTCAGTTCACGACATAAAACCCCATTCCCCATTAACCAGCTAAATTTCCATGAGCAACATCACCTACAGTCCCATCATTTGGCTCATAAGAGGAAAAAACGAAATGGTATATTTGCAAATAAAAATTAATATGTAAATAAAACTTTTACATATACGTTCTTAACGATTAAAAAACAAAAGCTGAAAAATAAACTACGATAAAAAAAATCCAAAATCAATTCTAAATTTAAAGTTAAAAATTAATTTTTGCCTGATAACTATAAGCATTGGAGAAAAGATAACACCGCTAGATACAACCAAAATCAATTGATACTTAATGAATTAATTTTAGAGTTCCTTTTATCGTAGTCAATTTTCTAGTCTTGTCCTTAAAAGCACTAATAGAGTCATAGTACAATCATAATAATTTACCTATAATTCTTTTTGGGTTGTTTCATTTAACTATAAACTAACAACATAGTAAACGGTAAATTAAAAAGGTGTTTTTTATCTCCCGAGGGGATGTACTCTCGTTTTGTGCGGGACGCTTGAAAAGTCAGTACAAAATTGAAAAAAAATTAACAACATAAATCAATGTGTGATCTACAAACATACAAATTCAAATTTAACTTGTACAAGTAAAAAAATAAAAAATGTATCTGTAAATAGTACTATATAGGTTGAATTTGAATTCACATGTTTGTACAATGATGTAGTTATCTCATACTGATCTATCATGTCAAAAATTTTTAACTTTTTTTGTAAAATGTTTCCTCACCGAAAACACAAAAGAAGCCAAGCTAGTGATCAGATTTCGTCTGGCAGGCAGCACATCACTAGATCCTACTACCCTGTTTCTCGATTCTGCTGGATTCAACGCCCCATGGCCCCCATTCCTCCCCCTTCCCTCGATCCTTTCCCTGCTTCACGAAGCTTTTTCCCACACTGCAAAAAAGAAATGGGTTTATGTCCCCACTGCAAAGGTGACTTAACTATCACCCTTGGGCAAGTTACATGAATGAAATACAAAATGGTCAATTAGCTAAATGACAAAACAGAGATGTGACTCCCCTTGGTAAAATTTCTACTTCTATCTTCAAATAGCAGGCGCAGGCAGCAGGCTAGCATCCTTAAGCTTGTGTTCGGCAACTCTCCCTCCAAACACGTAAAATAAAGTGATTCATTAGCATATAATTAATTAAATATTAACTAATTTTTTTTTTCTAAAAAATAGATTAATATGATTTTTTAAAGTAACATTCTTAGAAAGCATACGTGTGGAAAACGAAGGTGGTGTGGTTGGGAGCTCAAGCTGCCAAACGCAGCCTTAGGAAGTTTCACACTATGCCATGTTTAGTTCACCCCCAACTACCCCCAACTTCTAACTTTACATAACATCATATTACATCTAAAACTTTCCTACACACATAAACTTCCAACTTTTTTTCCAAACTTTCAACTTTCTCTAAACTTCCAACTTTTTTCAGAATATACATTCCTTATCAACCGATATTACAGCTACCACTTTTGTTTCTGATACCATGAAAACATCATCATAAGCACTTTCCCATTTTTCTGCTCTGGAACAAAATCATATCTCTCTGCCCATGTATCTATGATCAAATGTCAGGAAATTCCTCTCCTCTCGCTCACTGAATCGCTGCGAACTGAAAGTGTTTCGGACGCGCTACAGTAAACAAAAGAATTTTTTCAGCGAGCAGAGGAAACAGAGTTTTGGCACTACATTAACTTCTTGCAGCATTTTTATTCTTCTCCTTTTATTCACCTACTAACTGGAGTCTGTTACATGCATAACAACAGCCAAAACGAAATCACCGGCCTCAGATCTGACAATGCCATCCCATGTCCACTAACTGAATTTCCAATACATCGGACTATCTTCAGCAGGCTCTGAACATGCACAAAAATGACAACGGCTAGTGCATCTAAACTGAACGAAGTTACTGAAATGAAACCTAAAGAAACAAAACAACTTCGCAACAATAACACTCTGACAATGGTAGAGGTACTGACTATAAAGTTTAAGGTGCTAAATGTATTTTCATGCAATGCTTAGGGTAGTATTATTATTGTAATCTCAGACGAGCATCAAATCAGCATTAACCTTAATTTATGATCCAGGATAGGAACAGCATAGACACCATATTCAAAGTAAAGCATAAAAATAGCAGTGCATGTTACTGCAGCATGCACTGGTCATTTTAAAGTTACAGAAACGAAAATACCGGATCATAGATTTTAGTGCTTATGAGACATATATTTCAGTTTTCTTCCTTCCCTTTTAAATTTGTAGTCTGGGTATCACAGCATCAGCCGAATCCATTCCTCTAGAGGCACCGGCTTTTGTCCCGCTTCCAGATAATGTTGTGGGTTATCCAATATTAGTTTCCTGCCCCAACATCATGTAAATAAATTTACAGTATTCCATCGCAATTGAAAACAATCGTCTTTTCTGCAGTACTCTTCCCCCATTCTATGCAATCGATTGGGAAAAATGAAGTTGAAACGGAACAAACTCTACCCGGACATAACGAGTATTATCCCTAGTGACTGGGTCAAGTACTTGAACATTCGAAACATGATCTTCAGCTTCAGTTGAGAAAATCCCATCTCCAAAAACATTAGCACACAATTATTAAATACATTCTTGTAAACTAGGAAGGTTGCCCGCGTGGATGTGTGGGCACCTTATTTAGTGGTGTTTGAAATGTTGTGACGAATGTTTATGTATATTTTTTTTTCAAAAAAATATTTTTTACTCTTCTAAATCTATGTTTATAAAAAAACATATAAATGCTCCATATATATCAACCGTTGATTTGTTCTAGGCAATGAACAATTTAGCACAGCACAATATGAATGGGATAAATCCATCTTCATAAAGTTGAAGTTGTGTTGTGTACAATATAAAGTTGTAGCTCATCAGAGAAACTTGACATGGTGATGGCGATCTCCTGCAACCGCCACAGGTGCATCGTAGAATTTTTTTCCTTTTCTTTTAGTTTTGAGGTTCTGGTTAATTATACCAATCTAATCTAACGGTGGAGTTCCTGGCTGTTCTCTTTCGATGAGGTAAATCCAATAGCCTAAAATAACAGATCATCAATTCAAGTGAAAATCAAGGATGAGATGTTTTTCCTTATATCATAATTTATATAAATTTTTAATTTATTAGAGCATCATGAGATGTCTTAGGAATGTATACTCGATGCCACATGATGGTTTAGAAGCGTTTGTAAAAAGTTTAATAGATGTTTATATAAAGTTGTGTGTTTGTGCAACTATATTATCTCCCCTCTACTAAATTTACAATAATAATAAAAAAATGTACAAATGTGTTTGTAGAAGATTTTTGCATTGTGGATATAACGTTATCATATTATACTTTTTTCTTTAATTAATGAAATAATTTGTCATGACATCACAAAGGGGTGCAGAGTGAGCTTCGAATGATTTTTTTTTAAAAAAATATATCTAACAACCTAAAACCAAAATTTAAGTAGAAATCAATGGTCGAATATTTTCTTTTGGATTTTCTATAATTTAAGAGTGCCAGGTAGTTATTTAGAAATATTTGTATGATGTTTAGTGTACTATAAAGAGAGAACAGAGGAAGAGCTTGCTCGATCTAGAAGGTTGATGTCTATCTATAGATAATTTTAGGCCCATAATGAAATAATAATAATAATTTTAGTTATCATGGAAATAAAATAGAAAGGAATGAAGGAAGGGTAGGTTAGGTACATGCGTGAGAACACAGCACAGAGGCATGAACAGATGAAGATTTTTCTTAAGATAGATCTCACGATTTAAAATAATGGGTTCATTGATTTAAATGAAAATCGACGATGGAATTTCTCTATTTTATTAGAGTGCCACGTGACGACTCGAAAGTCAAAGTGTTTATAGGATGTCACGTGGCGGGTTAGGAGCATTTGTAGGAAGTTTAATAATTTATAATTATGATCATCCAGGTATCTATAAGCAATACATATGTACATACATAAATATTGCTAAGATAAATGTAATAGTAGAAAATAATTGGTCGACCACATTTAAGTGGAAATCGATGGTTTTTTTATTTTTTTTTCTTCATAATTTATATGATTTTCTCTAATTTATTGGAGTGTTACTTGACGGCTTAGGAGTTTATTTAGTTGTCGGTTATTAAAACACAAAGAAAGTGGCTTAGGAGCTTATTTAGTTGTCGGTTATTAAAACACAAAGAAAGTAATTATTAAGACTATAGTTCCATATGACAACTTTTTTAATTAAAATATAGGTAATATGGATGTTATATTTTTTAGATAAGATACGTTATATACTTTATAAAATTATAAATAGTGAACAACTGAAGAAAATAAAGAGGTAAGGAATGATCGCTTCTTTTCCAACCGTGGGTGCAAATGTGCATACATAATTTCTTTTCTTTTTATTTTTTCCAATCAATAGTTTTCTATTTGTTTTCCTTTAGCAGATAGTGTGTAGGTAGTTTCCTTATGTACGTTTGTGCGTACGTGCGGGGACTCTTGGATATGGGCCCGTGGGGATATGAGAGGGAGGTGGAAAAACAAATTTGATAGTAATTAAAAATGTGGGTCTAGCTGTTTATTAAAATGATACATGGCGTTTTAGGAGTGTTTGTATGATTCTCACGTGGCAACTTAGGAACGTTTGTAGGAAGTTTCATAGACTTTTAGTATACTATAATAAAATTAGCTGTATGTATGGAGATGCACTTGATAGTGCATTGGTAAACAGTGATGTGTGGTGCATTGGTAAGATGGCATCCTAACACACTCACAATTTCTTCTTAGAAAAATATTGGGTTAATTAGATCCATGCCACTATAAATTTACCAATTTAAAAAAATGCTACTACTATTCTTAATATCGGGTGCGTGCCATGGAAATTTTGTAAAATTTGACCCATGCCACTCCTTCGTGATTTCTGTTTAACACCACCTCCGTCAACTCCAACTCCGGTTAGCACCTCTGTTCCTTCTCCAACTCCAAATCCTGCAGAGCTGCTCGGTGAGGTTTCCGGCCGCATGACCTCCGACGCGGACTTGCTCCACATCCATCAGGTGTGCGCCCATTGGTGCGCCTCCATAGCTGCCGTTGGCTGCCGGCCGGCTACGTGACATCGCGCGTTGTCAGCGCCATCAGCGAGGACTACTCCTTCTGGCTCCCCCATCGTGGTGGCGGCGGCGGCGGCCAGAGGATCCCCTGCTTCGGCGACGCGCGCCGGCGGTGCTCCCCGTACTGCTGCGGCACGCCGCGCCGCACTCCCCGACGCGGTTCGTGATGCCTCCGCTGCCCCGCTGCCGTACGACCTCCACCACCGCGACGCGCCATGGCCACCGGCGTGTGTCCCGTTTCCCCTTCGTCAACTTCAACGCCAACCATGCGTGCGAGCTGGCCAAGCAAGACAACTACCTGCTCACCGTGCACATGGTCGGCAATATGGCAGCAACCTGCAGTACATAAAACAAGGAAAAGACCGCGCGAGTGATGCATTGTGGCGGGAACGCTTATGCGACGCGCAGTCGGAGTCCGCATCAATTTCCGAATCGGATTCCGTCGATCTCCAATATCCAAGCAAATCTTCTTCTCCCGCCGCCATTAAAAGCAGAGCAACGGCCGTCCCTCCCTCGCTTCGCTTCCTCCCTGCGCAATTCCACCACGCGCGCAAACCATCCCTTTCGATCCAACATGGAGAAAGGCAAGCTCGATTTCCTCCTCGAGCTAGGGTTTCGCTTCAACCCGTCGCCGGAGCAGGTCGTCACCTACTACCTGCCATGCCTCGTCGCCGGCCAGCAGCCCAAGGACACCGAGGGGTGCATCCACAGCGCCGACGTCTACGGCGCCGACGAGCCCAGGGACCTCGCCGGCAAGTACGCGCCCGTGGCCAGGAGCTCCAACGGCGACCGGTTCTTCTTCACCGGTTGCAAGCGGATGAAAGGGAAGTTCTCCCGCTCCGCCGGGGGTGGCACCTGGGTCTCTCAGTCCAGCAAGGATCTCAAGAACAGGGAGGGGATCAAGATCGGCGAGGTCAAGAACTTCCGCTTCAAGAAAGATGGCAAGAACACGGATTGGTTGATGGAGGAGTATCACCTCTGCGGGCAAGAATCCGGTGATGTTGTCGAGCCCGTCGTCTGCCGGATTTACGTCTCCCCTAGGGCTGCTCCTGATTCGGTGGCGCACCAAGAATCAGCTGTCCTGCAGCCTCAAGAACCCGCGCCGCTGCCGGTTCCTGCAGCACCAGCGCCGCCACGACAAGTGCCCGTGGTCACGCAGCAAGCGCCGCCGCCGCCGCCACCACTTGTTCCGGTGATCACGCAGGACGCGCCGCCCCTGAAGAGGCCCGCGCCGGTCGCCGCGCCGCCGTGCGCCAAGAAGATGAGAGGCGATGTCTCGGCATTCCCTGTGGTGCGCCAGAGCTGCGTGGCGGCGCCGCGATGTGCGCCACGCGTCGTGGCACCACCGCCGCGTCATCCACCCATCCAGACCTATCCGACGGATCCGTTCGAGTCAGCGCCGCTGGATCCGTTCGAGCCGCCGCCAGCAGCTGCCTCGGTGACCGGCGGACACCACACGCCTCAGCCGTCTGTCCCTGTCCCTGCGACGCCAGAGCAAGGGTTTTCACTGGCAGCTTCCAATAGTCCAGAACTCGATCCGGCTAACATCGGCATTGACATGGACGAGCTTATGAGATATCTGGGCAATACACCATTGGACGGCGTTCTCCCTTCCCAGCTATTTGTTCTGCCCACCAACGACGATGAAGACGTCGAGCTCGCCAAAGTACTAGAGGACGGGCTACAAGGAGGAGGAGGACGGCAATGGCAATCCACCGCTGTGTGTGACTCCTCCTCCTCCGCGACCGGCATCTTGGCCCGTCATGGCGCCACCGCCGCCTCATCCACCCATCCTGACCTGTCCCAAGGATCCGTTCGAGCCCAATGATGATGAAGACGAGGACGAGAACGATTTTGCGAGCATGCTAAGACGCTGTGTGTTCGCTCCTTCTGTCGCGGAAGAGGTGGATTTTGGAGGGATGTGAGTACTGTGAATTTGGATATGGAGTTTGTCCAGATTCATAGAATTAAGATATCCCTCTAAAATATCTTATATTTTGAGACGGAGAGAGTATGCACAGCTTACTTTGTAATTGAATTGTTCTTGTGGTGTTCTAAGAATCCAGAAAATGAATTAGAAGTCAGAAGTTGGTGTTGGCAACTTTTTTGACAAGTTGACAAGCACGATCGCAGCACCTTAAGCCTTGCGGTGATCCTAGAGTCGCCAACCACCTCGATCTAGCAAAGAGCTAAACCTAGGTGGGTTTTGATAACTAAACCGGCTAGCGGAGCCGATTTCTAGATAACTACCCGTCTCGTGGGCAAAACGGAAGGTTTTCGGGACAAACCTACAAAGAGGTATCGCACTCTCGCAGCGGCAGCGGACGGTTTACGGCGCAAACCGACAAAGATGGACAAACTAAGAGAAAACTAAAAGCAATATGAAAAAAACGATTCGATTGATTGATTGTAGATTGATTTTTTACAATGAACCGGCCATGTCCCTTATATAGGGGTTGGTCTTACCCTCTACAGGCCCTCCTCCACGTCCAACTCGGGGTAGAAACAAAAGGAAACCCGAAACATGCCTTCCCGAGCAAGGAAACTTCAAGACCTGATAAAACAGAGTCGGACTCGGACCTGCCGGTCAGACCGGCCCTCAACCGGCGGTCTGAGCGCCCAACACACGGCGGTCTAACCGGCTCACTTCGGAGGAAACCGGTAGACTTCCAAATTTTGGCAATATTTCCTATTTTAATCCTAGGTGCCAAATTTGGATGCAAACAGTTGGAAAACCCAGCTTGTATCTCAGAAGAAGTTAGGTACCAACCATCTACTCCCCAAACAAACCCTAATACTGCAGACAAATCTGTTTTGGTGGTTGTATTTCAGGCTCAAACCTTTACTAGATGCACATCATAGCTCACTGTCAGTCTGTCATGTGTCTCGTAAGTTATCTATTATACATAGACGCACATAATACATTGTTTCTACATATGTCATGCGTATGGTCCAAATAATAATAAATCACTCGAATAAAAATTTGATCATAAGTGCACATGCAATATGATGCAGCCATTATTCGTGCAATGCAGTTTGTGCGTTATTAATATTAGTTATCGATAATATATGGGGCCAATCGAAATGCTAAGGAGAAAACTTACTCAATGGCACCAACCAGCTGCTTAACCACTGAAACTGAAGGAAATGCCATCTTTGTTGCAGAAGTTAGAGCATCTCCAACAGTCTCTTCAAATCCCACTCTCCAAATATCTATTTAGCCAACCCTCCATTTAATTTGGCAAGTCAAATTTGTTTTTACTCCAACAGCCTCTCCATTCATGTCACGACCGGAGTTTCTATCCAAAATTCCAAACGCTTACATGTGTGTCGGAGAATGAACTCCTCCATCAGGGGACCGTGAGGCCCCCCTTTGTGAGTTCGGCCGGGGGCAGCGGGTGAGATTCGAGGGTTTGGTGAGCGAAGCTGTGTGACCTTCAGGGGGTTCCATCCCCAAAGACGATGAGACAAAAGGGGTTTATACAGGTTCGGGCCACTGAGAAGCGTAATGCCCTACTCCTGTGCTTGATTGATTGAGTGTAGAACACCAATGCTTGGGGTTGCGAAACTCAAGCGCCAGTTCGCTTGGGAGTCCCCCCCCTTCTCCCACTACTAGGCCTGGACCTCCTTTTATACTTCAAGGGGTTACCACATGGGCCCAACAACCTAACCTAGCTCCATGGAGAAGGATTACAATCTTTGCATTAAATGCATGTCTTGTCTCTTGACTTGGGAAGCAAGCGCACGTCATCTTGATGATGAGGCCTGTCAAATCTTGCCGCCTGACACGGGGGGTGCCCCTGTCAGTCACCATTTAATGGGTGAGGACTTCTGGGCTCCTATTACACCGGGAAACGGGAGCCTTACTTTGACCAGAGCGGGAGGACCGACTCCGGCTGGGATAAGAGGATGAGAACCTCTCACCATTATTATTTGATGGGACATGTCAGGCTGCACGTCGCCTGACACACGAGCAGCGTGCAGACGCACTACCCCAGTCCCATCGGTCATTCGACCGGTCACAGACCGGTTGAGTGCATTGCACACCGCATTAAATGCGGCGTGGCGCGACTACTCGGGCCGCCATAAATGCGAGTAGGTGGGCACCTGGAGGCAGACACTTAACCCACCGTACATGGTGACCTAGAGAGGGGGTCGGGGGAGCCCGACCCCTAGTCACGGGAGGGGGCGGCCGCCGCCCGACCTCGGGCCCGATCCCCCCTCGGGGGAGAGCCACGTGGCGCCTGGGGCAGCCTTCTCCCTCTAGTCTCGGCCAGAGAGTGGCCGCGGCCCCACCTGGGGCCTGACTCCCCTCGGGGGAGGGCCACGTGGCATCGGGGGGCAGCCTCCTCCATCCAGTCTCTAGGAAGGAGTGGCCGCCACCCTACCTCGGACCTAACTCTCCCCTCGGGGGAGGGCCACGTGACATCGGGGGGCAGCCTCCTCCGTCGAGTCTCGGCCAGGGAGTGGCCGCCGCCCTACCTCGGGCCTGACTCCCCTCGGGGGAGGGCCACGTGGGTTTGGGGGCAGCCTCCGTATCCTAAGCTGGGAGGGGGCGGTCGCCACTCCACCCGGGCGTCACCCTCCTCAGGGAATGCCACATGGGTTTGGGGGCGACCTCCTCACTCTAAACATGATACCCCCGGGTCCATATCACCGACAATGTGTGTTAAATCCTCGTCTAGGAATCAACCGAGGCACACAATGATAAAATGATAATAGAGTACTATTAAACAACTAATTAATATTCGCAAATAATAAATTATTACAGAGGTAGATAGTTTCTCTCAAAAAATAAAATTCTACGCAGCGAGAAATAAAAACAAACTACGGAACAGCTATGACGACTCCACTCCACAAGCAACTTAACCCGGACCAAGCCTAGTCCTCCAGATCATCACCTTCACTGAAATACTCCTCCTCTGATAAATGAATATTGCAAGAATGAGCATATGACATACTCAACAAGCCACACAGCAAATACGCAAGTGCACAAGATAACAAAGGATGGCATAGTAAAGGTCATTTGCATAAACAACATTTAGTAAATATTTAAGAGAATAGTAAAACAGTTGAATAATTAAGCAGTATTAAATAAACACTACACAACACACCCGTGTTGCATAGGCCCTACCTCATCCGAACAACCAACCCCGGTTGTACAAATCAAACCTCCATACCAGGAATATACCATTCCAAACCAGGAGTTAAATTAATTACCACAATTACCATTAATGAGTAGTGTGGGACTAATCACAAAAAACATTGTTAAACTCACCCATAACCGCGGGCACGGCTATTTGAATAGTTTTACTTTGATCAGAGGTGTACCACTGTACCCACAAGACACAGCTCCACAACATGTCACCACGCGCCTCAGTACCACCACGGTACCTTGGAAAGGAACTGTGACAATACCCCTTTCACAACACAACTCACCATAGTGCACCGTTCCTGGATCATAATCTCCCCCTCAAAACCAGAAGCAATGGACTCCCCAGCGACCCCCACGGACTTCTCGCCGCTTCACAGTCTGGCACACCATAATGAATCATGCTATACAAAGGATAAAGCCGTTGCCCATGCTGGCTTGTGGTTGGCACGGTAAATGTTTCACAACATTAGCTCGCGAACCGGTCCTTAATTGTCATGAGCACAACCATCAAAACCATATGCTCACAACCCACCTTTAACCAGGTTTTTAATTATCAATTAATTAACATAACACGATTAACCATCGTGAGCTACCATTTAATGTAACCATAATTAATAATGTAGTATATATGATTCATCCCATTAATGAGCTATTGTTTCTAAGCATGGCTAAGCAAATATACATATAGCATTTAGCTGAACCAATACAATATATAAGGTCCAAGCTAATCAAATTATAACCCATATGAAAATAAAGTCATCTTCGGCCATTATTTAATTGGGAAAAGTTCACCACCCGATGACATTAAAAAATAATGCATAAGTTGAAATAAAACATTAGCTTTAAACGGGTTCAACATGTTCAAAGGGTTGTTTGGGATCTGTGTGACTTGCCTTAAGCTTCCACAAACACTTCCGAACCTTCCTCAACGAAAGCGCTCTCCTCGGGAACGTCAGAAAACTAAAGCAAATAGACAAAATCAACAAAACAGTACAAAAACAAGCATAAACAGTATATGTGGATATTTTTAACATGTAGATCTTGATTTTAGAAAAATTTAACAACTTGAACCACTCGAATCGGAGTTACGATGATTTAGTTATGAATTTCCGAAGTTTAATTGATTTGCATCTAATAAAGAAAACTAAAAGAAAAGGAAATATGACGTCATGATGACGTCATCACCGCCGGCATGACGCGGGCGACGACCTCGCCGGCGCTAGAGAGGTCGGCCAGGCTATCCAAGGGCATCTGCACGTAGAGGGCGACGACGCGAACTCACCGGTACTAGCAAACACGACGGACGGCGACGAACGGCGGCCGGCGGCGAGCTCTAACGGCGGCGTGGCTCGGGTCGGTGGCGACGACGGCGTTCCGGCGACCGGCGACAGCGGCGAAGGGGCAGTCGGGGTAGCTCTCCTCCGTGCGCACCCGATGGTGGCGACTGGAAGCGGCTGAACGGCGACCGGCGGCGGCGGTGGCTAGGGCAGTGTGGCGGCGGCGCTATGGGTGACGAGGGGGCTCGGGAGTTGGGGCAAACGAAAGAGGACGCCAAGGGGATGCTATATATAGGCTTGGATTGAAGAGATCGGACTCCAACCGAGAGGAATCGAAGCCGGAAAATCTTCGGGTTAGTTTGGAGAGATAAACTCAAACGGACTCGATTTGGTTTATCCGGGAGAAATTGGTCTCCGAAACCTTAGGGGAAAGGAAGAGGATAACGAGGAGAGTATTTCA